GTACAAATCAACTTTAGTAGAATTCAAACAACTACTAAATTGATAAGTAACCAACCATCTATACTAAAAAGGTGACTTGAATGAAAAGAACCATCTATACTAAAAAGGTGATTTGAATTAAATGGAGGACACTTGTATTACCAATATATCTTTGGTAAATGTTTAATGAAGTGGTGAAATGTGATTGAGGGCATGATCGTGCGCCCTCTGCAGAGATGAGTGTCTGCATGTTCAATGTGCCTTCCACTTCAACGCTTGTTATGGAGCCTTCTTTGTCAGCCTTACAAACAACCCATAACATTTGTCCCCCAAGCTCGTTTTCTTAAGGAATAGAGTGAGGGTTTATTGGGTTCGTCTTCACTTTGGACTCAAGTGGAAGGAAGCAGAAAAGTCTTGATAAGACGTTGATGTCTTAGGAAATGGTGCATTGAATTCCTTCCCCGTGATTAACAACACTTCCCACGTATGTCTTGGAAAGTTGTTCTCTCACTTTTGCAGTCTTCTTCAATCTTCATACCAGGGTTTGAACTCTCTTTTCTTTTTGCATATGCTTGTTTTATTAGGTATATATAAAGGGTTTCAATTTTCTATACTTTGTGCTTCAGTGAATTCTATTATTATATACGACTTTTGGTAGGGAGCGAAGTTTGTCTTTGTGTTGACCTTGTGTTTTTCACATGGACAACCTTCAACACAAAACCCGAAAAGCAACAAGAGATAACTCGATTGTGTGGGTGGATTAGAAGATATTGGATATTATTCTCACCTTTGTGGGTGAAGGAGGCCTAGACCACGCCTTTAGTGCAGTGGGTCCCCCCTTAGACTAGGGAGTGTGTCAAGAGGATACGAAGATTTGCAAAAAGCATGATAGGTATGGCATTCCTCCTCACGAATGTTTATTTTCTTTGATAGATTTCCGTCTCCCATTCAACGACTCCTCGCGGATGTTTATTTTCTTTGATAGATTTTCGTCTCCCATTCAACGACTTTGAAGTGGGTATTTTGAACAACCTCACACAATTAGTTGGGTGGATATTAAAGTCTTCCAATACTTTTGTGAATATAAGAAAGATGTATCATCTTTAATATTCTTCTTACACATTTATAAAGCCCAACAAATTTATGTTGATTCAACCTATGGGTAGGGTCTAATCTCCGGCAAGGTCTAATTTCCCTTAGGTAAAGTACCAAAATGTTTAAGGTTTATTCGAAGAGCGTGAAACACTTCAAGGACGAATATTTCCATATTAGCCCACACACCAAGGTGGCTCATGCCAATATCTGCAACATAGATTTTATCAATGTTCAAATAAATTTTGGCAATATAGTCATTTCTTAGCGAATGTTGGGTCTTATGTCTCTAGACTATATGAGTTGTCCCAAATAGAAATTTACATGAAGAGGAAATTTGCAACCTTAGAAGATTAGGGATTTGGGGTTGTTCTCTTTCTTGTGGTGGGTGATGCCAGGCAAGCTTCTATGAGAATCTTGTGTACAAGGTCCCCTTCTTACATGATCTTGGTTACCTTTCCTCTCTCCATTTTAGTGGAAGTTTGAGACTCTTTGGATCGAGTCGTGGTAGAAAGTACTTTACGTTTATCGTCATTCGTAACTAGATGGAGCCCTATCATTAGGCATGTTATCAAGGTAACTCAAGGGAAAGGGTTGTTTATTCGACATCAAACGCTTGATCAAGACTCAAAGGCTTCGTTTTAGTGTATGTACAACATCGAACTTGGTTGCATTGTCTCCTTTATTTTTGGCTAGTCCTAGTCCTCCATTGACTAAAGAGTTTCCATCCTCCATTCATGAGAAGGACTACATGTATTTTTCAAGCAATTGTAAGGTCATTCATCAAAAGAAATGACCTTATAATTGCTTGACCTTATAAGGTCGCTTGTAATATAGTCCTTCTCAAGAGGAATGTCTTATTGCCCGACTGTGTTGACCTTTAACTAATATGCAACCTTAATATGGAGACGGCCCTTACCTTACAAGCGAGTTTTTATAGATTAAGTTATGCTCAACCCAAATTGTATAATCATGATATTCATGCTAGATATTGCCTGATGTGGGCTCATAACAATTACAAATATGCTTCATTTGATATTTTGCATTAGGAGAAAAGAAGTCTACAAAGTATTAAGTCTTTCCTTATATAAGAAGAGATAATTTGCAATACATGTGTCTATCATTTCATTCAAGCCAACTTTTAAAACAAAGTATTAAGTGTTTCCTTGTATAGCTAGATATAATTGGCAATACTTATGTCTATCATTTCATTTAAGTCAACTTTTAATACAAATAGTCAGATACTAAACAATTTCATAATTGTTTGGATTACACAAGTATTGAAGTGTTAATCGAAATTCAAAATTGGATAAGAAAATTCAAAGTAATTAATTTTCAAACACAAGTGGACAAAATGCAACAACTCAACTCAAAGCATGAACAAGACTTTAAAATATTTTGTATGGATTGTGTATGTTACAATTTTATAAAATGGTTGGATTTTGTACTATGGGTGGTGTGATTAATAATGATGGCTTTGGAGCATGAAAGTCAATGAAATTGTTTAAAGTTTGAAATTATTTTGTTTATCAAATCATTTGAGTGAGAATTATCAAGTCATTTAATTGAACTATCAAGTCATCTAATTAATTTATATTTATAACTTATTTTATATGAATTACATAAGCTAATTAGAGATATGAAGTTCTATGTGCCAAAGTTTGTAATTTTGAATTGTTAGAATTTTGTAATCCCTTTGTCGAGATTGAGGCTAGGCGTTAATTTTCAATTGCTCGATTGTGTAAGAGGTTTGGCACGAAGTTAGGATATAAAGTTTACATATCCCCTACGTTAAGGATAAGAAGCAAATTAGTTTAGGTTATGTTGCAGATATTTGATTCACATAACCTTTCTTATTCTTTAAAAATATGGAACCAAAATGATAAAAAAAATACAAACCAATTCGTTAATGATATTGTGGACAATTTGGTGTAGAAAAAAAATGCTAGGATGAAAAACACCATCGACTTTTGTTGTCAGTGAAAGATCAACAAAAGCAAGGGGTGAGTGGTCGTGTTTAGTGCAAATAGAGTTCGACCAATTTGAATTCATATGTCTAATGCTGCCCCAAAGCCCCTCCTACCCTAGAAGCCCATGTTGTCCTAGAGGGTTTTTTAGGATGTTCCTCAAACATTTCATTGCTTCCTCTACATCCATATCATGCTGCTAGGCACATATGGGACGAAGAGGTAACATAAATCTTTTAATTACTCTTTTAGACAAGTGTTGCTAGGCACATATGGGACAAAGAGGTAACATAAATCTTTTAATTACTCTTTTAGACAAGTGTTAATATTTAAACTATTTGACGATGCATTTACCATGATGATTATTGTATCAATCATGATAAGAATGTTGCAAAACCGACGCAACCTGATGAGTCATGGTTTCATAGCAGGATTTATGCATGGCTATGGTTGTATTAACCATGACTAATTGTCTACTTTTGTGGAGAGATGACATGCAAAAACATCGTCATTTCATCTTACGATCAGTGAGATGTCCATCACACTTGATGATTTCTCATGTCTCCTACATCTTTTGATCCAGGGAAAATTGTTAAACTACTCTAGAATCAACAAACATGAGGTACTGGGTATGATGGCAACTTATTTGAGTTGAGCCAGGAAAAGCTCAATAGGAGTTAGATGACACTAGAGCATGTTAATGCTCTAGTCATTGTACAACACAAGGATGTTGATGAGATTTTTGCAACGTACTTTGATGGTGCCAAAGGATGTAGACGTATGTCGTGTGTCATCTCATCCATGGAATACAGTATACGAATGCATCTAATGGTTTTATGGTGTCAACATTCTTACATGACACCATATGCAGAGGGAGATCTCCCGGGGCCAACTCATCAGGAGACTCCTCAAATAGCCAATCTACATTACCATCTTAGCAGAGACACGACATGAATTGCAGTACAGACGACATAGAAGGAATAGGGACACCAGATATACGCAATAGTGGAATTTTATTTTGTACATTTTGACATTTTATATTATGAATTGTAATTGGATTGATTGTGACATTATGTGTTTGACATTTTGGCATTTATATATATGCATTAGTTCTTCTATTTTGATCTTATTATTGAATGACAAATGTGTGGTTTATCATGCGATTAATTTATAAATGACTCACAATGTAAGGTTTATTAAAAAATAACAAAATTCTTCTAATTTACTGTCAATGTCTGTAAAATATTATCATAGGGTTAATACGGAGATTGGAATTCTGACTTATGATACAGAGATTGGAATCCATACCAATTTTTGACAAAAATGTGGTGCCTTGGTCATTAAGTCATTTTATTGTAGATTGGGAGCATTTAAATTTTGAAATCCGAAATATAGACATTTTGGGAGTTTCCGTAGGGTGTGATAACTACACGGAGTGTAGTGAGCACCATCCATTGTTTTAATAATGCTAAGATTAAGGTAGCCTTTTCTTAAAGGTTAAAAGTGAACATAAATGAACAGGACAGACTGTTTTTGTGTGTCCAACGTGATTCCATTAGTGGATGAATACTTGTGAGGGAGAAATTTTTTGTTTTCATTTCCACCTTTTACTTCAAAACTGCCACATTTTTCAGTCTGTTACTTGTATCCATAGATTTGTATAGGAAACATTTAAAACATTTTTGAACAGTGTGACAGTTACACAGCTTGTGTGTGCAAACAGAGATTCGTTACACTAATTAAGATTTCCTTCTATTCTATCTTTACTATTATGTAAATATTTAACTACTTATTTGATGATTAAGTAAGAAAATTAAAGGGGACCAAACATAATGAAGAAATTTTTGAAAAACTGTAGTAATGGTATAAGTTTAAAAAAAGCAAAAAGTCAGTTTGCAAAAAAAAAAAAGACATATATAATGATATCCAAAAATAAAGTAGAAGATGGGTAAGAGCATATACCGCCGCTAGCAGAATAACACAGAGGCTGAACAAGTTGATTAGCCTGGGGACTAGAAGGGGGCAGTAACTGCTTTTCAAAAGCTTTGACATAAGTCTCATCATGCAGCTTAAACACTGCCTGTCGAAGAGCAAACACGGAAGCCTTGTTCTTAGAGAAGCTATAGCTTTGATGATCACCGCCGTATGGGGCAACTGCCAACTGCTTGATGAAAGCAACTGTTTCGGCAGGTCCAAAACCATTTTTTTCCTTCCTGGTCTGAGCTTTGGAATAGATTCCAGGGTCATAGTCTGGCACATTAACATAAGAGGACCCTTCACAATGGTGGGGCAAAATTGAATAAAGATAATCACAGTGTTATATCATTTTATTATTTATGATTTAAATTGAAACTTAAACAAATTATAAAGGTATATAGATTCCAATAGCATGGTTTTAAATGAGTATATGGCATCTCAAAGAGATAGAGGAACTAAAACAGGCTAAAAGGTTAAGAGGATAGCCTTTTGGCGGTTAACACGAGAACGAAAAGAAAAAAGAAAACCTATTTTGATCTTATCCCATATGAATGTAAATTCGCAACCTTTTTATTAGGGTGATTACAACTGTTTTCAACCGTGTTAAACCTCTTACACTAAATTAGATCTATTTACAAATCCTCTTTGATGACTTGCTATAGTAGGTTAGGACTGGGACCGACACATGCCAATCAATTTATTAGGGTGATTATAACTGTTTTCAACCGTGTGAGACAGTTTGTTACAGGGTTCTAGTACATTATGTATACATTAACCTCTTAAAAGCCTGATGTTAGTCATACTAAATCTTAATCTACTCCTTTAATTAAACCTAATAAAAACTTTGTAGTGTATTGGTGATAGTATAAGGAAGGCAAAATGTCGGTATTCACTAAAAAACATATGATATCCAAAATTAAAATAGAAGATGAGAAAGAGCATATACCACTAGCAGGATGACTCAATTGCTGAACAAGAGGATTAGCCTTAGGGTTAGAAGGGTGCAATGGTTGCACTCCAACAGCCTCAACATTAGTCTCTTTATGCATCTTAAACATTGACTGTCGAAGAGCAAGCACAACAGCCTTATTCTTAACGAAGTTACAGCTTTTGCGATCAATGCAATGACGAGCAATGGCCAATTGCTTCATAAAAGCAAGTATTTCAGGGGGTCCAAAACCAGTTTTCTCCTTCCTGTTCTGAACAACAGGCTGAACAAGAGGACTAGCCTGAGGATTAGAATAACGCAATGGCTGCACTTCAATAGCCTCAGCATGAGTCTCATCATGCAGCCCAAACACTTCTCGTCGAAAAGCAAAAACAATGGCCTTACTCTTATTAAAGTTACAGCTTTTATCATCGCCACCATGTGGAGCAACAGCCAATAGCTTGATGAAACGAAGTGTTTCGGAAGGTCTAAAATCATTTTTTGCCTTCCAGATCTGAGCTTCAGAATAGATTCCAGAGTCATAATCTGGCACTTGAACAGAAAAGTACCCGTCAACACTGGTTGGAGCAAAATTATCAGGGTTCCTACATCTACACATTAGGCCAAGAGCACTTCTCCTACTTGCTTCATCAATTGCATCTTTCACTGCATTGGAGAAAGCTTTTGAGTTTAACTGCTTCGATTTCTCAGCAAAATTCGCGTCGAAGGGAATAAGTTGAGTTGGATCAAACCAACGGTAACTGCTATCACCAAAGAAAGCCACCAACACAAACCCTTCCTTCTTTGAAAGCCGTGCAGAAGAAGCCGCAAAAGCCTCATTGTATATGAATCCAGGCCACCACGGGTACGATTTCACCTTCCCCCAAACTAAATCCCCAACTTCAAAATTGTGTCCAAGATTCCTCGCCATTCCGGTATCTCTCTCAGAACCTACACAATCATCAAACTCAGATAACACAGACATACCATCAGAACCACTAAATCTCACCAATTAGGTTACTCTACCTGACATATGCAACTCAGCGTGGTTGTTGATTAGGTCGGACCGATCAACGGCGGAAGTTGCGATTGCAATTCTCGCATCGTCCTCGGCAAAAACCCTAACCCTAGACTTTTTCGTCGAATTGAGCGCTGGCAACATGGAAATGCGAGCGTTGCAAGGCGAACCAAGCTCCGGCGACGAAGTGGTGGCTTGACGGTTATGAAGATTCGAACCGGCGGTCGGTTGGGCAACGGTGGTTTGGTATCTGTGATGGTGGGTGGTGAGTGATATGTTTAAAGAAGGAGATGGGAAATGGAGAAACCGAAAAAGAATAGGAAACGTACCATAACAGTGTGAAATGGAAAATCTTCTCCTTGTGAGACCGAAACGAGTGAGCTTGTGAATCTAAAAGTTGAATTAGAAGCTTAAACGCATGCTCGAGAGAATGAGCCAGAGAGCGCATAAATGCTTTTGAAATTGGGATCCCTAGTTCCTTACCATTTTTCTATTTAAATTAATCTCTCTCAACTAAAATATCAAAATAGAATTTTTTTTATTAATAACCATGTATTAAAAAAAAATTTATAAATAACTGCGTTTCGGAAAAAATTACGCAAATAACCATGTTTCAGATGACTCCCTAAAGGAGGAGTCATCTGAATTGGCGCATGCACCCATTTTTTAAGGGGAGGCGCCATCTCACTTGGCGCCTATGTGCTTAGGGCATGTCCTAAGCCAAGTGAGATGGCGCCTAAGTGTTATTTTAGGGGAAAATGTGATTATTATTTTTTTGTCTAGTGCGTTGCGTGTTGGATACAGGATCAACAAAATGGACTTTTTATTATAAAAAAATAATTACATCCAAATGTATTACATTAAAATAACAGATTAAAAAAAACAGATAAAAAAATGGATAAAAAAAAACAGATAAATCAGTGATCCCCCAGAACCCGGTAATGTCCCCCGGTTCCGCATCCCCGTCCTCGCCTTTCTCGTGCTGGGTGTCGTCGTGTTTCCTGCTGCGGCAAGGTCGATGGCCCAGCGAAGTCAATGCGGTCCGGATCCATAAAATCAGTCAGATCTCCATATCTAGAAGATCCGCTTTGGTACAGTCGGTTACTCATATCCTCAAAGTTTGGTCGTGTTGGCGGTGGGTGGGGTTCCATATTGGGTCTGTAGCATTAGTCGTCTGAGTACGATGGGTAGAAAGGAAATGGATCTTGAGGTGTTTGGTATTGAGGATGTTGGGTGGTTTGGTGATATTGTGGTTGATGGTAGGCTGGGTCGGTTTGTTTGTAATCTTCCGACATTCCCATATCAGGGCTAAGGCTGGATGTTGAGGGGCCCATATTGAGATATACGGAAGACTGAAATTGTGTGTGGGGTATGCGGGTGTGCTGGTATTAGGATTGGTATTGTGGTTGGGTGTGAGGCATATCGGGGTATTGGTAGTGTGGTGGTGATTGTGGTTGGTTGTGTGGCATTTGAGTGTAATTGTGTTGTGGTGGGGACTGTGGTTGGGTGTTTGTGGGTCTGTTTCTTCTTGGGGGTTGGTGGGAGGTTGATGGATTTTGAGTTTGTTGTTAGGGAAACGAGGGTTGTGCCCATTGTGTGCGTGGGTCAACCAAGTACCTTGGATGAGACACGTGCATTTCAGGGTTACTAACCGACCTGTACCAAGACAAATATTGATTCGTGTGTCGCATATTACCTTGATTAAGGAAAACCGAGAATTGCAAGACATAGCGGTGACGCCTCTGCCACATCTTACACCATTCCAGAGCGAAGTCTTTCCAATTAGTAAGACCCCACTGGACGTCGACCCTTTTAAGATGCCATGGGGACAAACAAGTTGGATCACTTGGTATCTCTTGATGCATTCTGAACTGCATCTTCACACGATCGCTGTGGTGCATCTCCATAATGTTGAACCGAATGATTGCAGTCTTCGCGGTCCAAGTTGCTGCATCCTCTGGGTTTGGATCATGGCCCAAACCCAAATATGGTCTCCAGACGAACTGCGATAAAATTTAAATCAGGTTAACGCAAAAGTAATGTATAAATAATTTAAATGAAGAAAAGTAAAAGATACGACGTACGTCATCCAGGCCTAAGTGATCCAACAGATTGCGGTATAGTGCGACATTGAATCTTGGATTCTTGCTGTAATCCATACCCCTCACGCAGTATCTAAAGGAAATGAAAAACATTTTATTCTTAGCATATATTTGGGGAAGAGATGAATAGTAATAAATGATATAACTTGATGACTTACTTTGTTGCGTACGGGAAACCGAAAGTGTTGTTGTTGACGGAGTTTAAGGACTCCATCCTCCACCAACCTCAGGCTTGTAGTAAAAAAGCGCACCCATAAAATGTACATTTTTCCTTGACTGCATTTTTGCACAAGAAACTATATAGGTGGGCTAAAACTGCAGAACCCCAACTATATTTTCTTGTTTTTTCAAAATTTCTTAGTAAATGTAAATACATAAAATTTACACTATTTCCCGTACTTTCAGAAAATAAAAAGGTATCAAATAGTATCATAAGATAAGCTTTGGCTTTTACTACCCTGTCATTCTCGGAGGAATTTTCGTTTAATTCCAAACTTGCATAATGACTTTTCAGCTCAGTGAGTAGTATTCCCTGACCTCTCGCACCACCACCTTCTACCATATCCCTGCCCAACAGTTCTTCACACTGAGAGTTGGGTTGTTAAACCGACCCGTTCACGGCCTTACCGTCGACAGGGAGACCTAGTAGCATGTACACATCCTCTAGCGTGATGGTACATTCACCTATTGGTAGGTGAAATGTATGGGTCTCTGGTCTCCACCTTTCCAACATTGCAAGAATGAACTTCGAGTCAATGGTGCAGTTGGAGATCTTTATGACATGTCCAAAACCTGTGTATTCCAGATATGGTACGATAAATGGGTCGGGAGCCAGGTAGTTGTGAGAACAGATTCTGAAGCTTTTTGTGTCCTGAGTTCATAATGTAACATGTGTAAGATTAAGTAAGACGAACAACGCATTATCTGAAGTATGAAAAATGTATAACCAAAATAGAAACTTACAAATGCGGCAATGTTTTCCCTTGTGCCTTTGTGAGTATCGCCCATTGTTAGAAGAGCCATTGTTTAAAATACTTGAGATTATGAAAGACTTAGGAAGAGATAGAGAGTATGAAAGACTTAGAAAGTGTAAGAGATTATGAAAGATTTTGTAGCAGAGAATGAGACTTGTGTGGGTGTAAGAGATGTATGATATGGTAAGTATTTATAGGCAAATAAATTTCATATAGTGGTTGCTGGTGCTTGCATGCATGCGAAGTGTCACTCTTGCAGGCTAGGTGGCAGCCTAGGGGGTTACATATATGCATGCATGCATGTACAAAAAATGAAAGGTGTCACTCTTGCAGGCTAGGTGGCAGCCTAAGGATGTATCACGATTGGACAGTAAGGGAGGCGCCATTGGACTTGGCGAAAGAGTACAAAAATGAATGGTGTCGCCACCCCAATTGGCGAATAAGAGGTGTCCTTTGTTGCAGGCTAGGCTCAGGCTACGTGACAACCTTTGGGATTCCTTGCCTGAATGCATGTAAGCCCATTGGAGGTGATGAGAGGAGACTTACAACATACAGTATAGGTGCAGAGTAGGCGCAGGCTAGGTGGCAGCCTAGGGGGTTACATATCTGCATGCATGTATCACGATTGGACAGTAAGGGAGGCGCCATTGGACTTGGCGAAAGAGTACAAAAATGAATGGTGTCGCCACCCCAATTGGCGAATAAGAGGTGTCCTTTGTTGCAGGCTAGGATCAGGCTACGTGACAGCCTTTGGGATGCCTTGCATGTAACACTATTGCCAGCCTTGGGGGTTGCATCCTTACTTAATTGAAATTTATAGTCTTACGTTTATCATAACATTCATTCACTTAATCTGTCAAATCTTCCAACCTTCAAACGTTCTTACAATCAAACCTTCAAACAATCAAAAATATAAACTTTCGAATCACTCATAAAGTTCAAACATTCCAACCTTCAAACCTTACAGCATTCAAACCTTCATACAATCAATAAACCTCAAACATTCCAACCTTTGAATCACTCATAAAATTCAAACATTCCAACCTTTAAACCTTAAAACAATTCTACGCAATGGCCTCTGCACCATAATTTGTCGTCAAAGCACATTTCAACGGTGAGACATACATTTGTCCCATCGCTGGGTTTTTGTTTAGAGACACAGACAACATCTGATTTCTCTTAAATGGGAAAGCCAATTTCTCGTACTTCAAAAAAAGATTGGAGGCCAAACTTGAACGAGGCCCGGTGTCCCAGATATTTTATCAGAATCCAGTTTTCTTTGGAAACAACCAAGTAATTTTTTATAAGGTTGAAGTTCAAGATGACGAGGATCTCCAGAATATGTTTTCCAGCCATGTCTATTCTGGGTACGACTCTATTGAGTTGTACGTTATGCTGCAAGAGCCTCAGGTGACACAAGAGCTTGATCCTTTGGAGAATGAACAAGTTGAGGTAGATGCAGTTGATGATGAAGAAGAAGATAACGAGTTAGAGTTTGATGAAATGGTGAATGATGATTCCGACGATGATGGCATCCCTAGTATTCCTGTAAACAAAATCTACACACCACCTCTGCACTTGACAAACTTCAACATGGGCGGAGATGAACCTTCTACTGACTTATTTTTCAATCCGTATATGCAGTCAGATGAAAATTTAAAAGAGAATGACAAGTTTCGTAACAGAGAGGAATGCATCAGGGCCATTAAAAAATTCCACATGCTCAACTTGGTTGATTTTAAGGTGGATCGTGTCAACCCGGAAAGTTACAAGATCAAGTGTGTCCACCTTGACTGTATGTTCAAGCTGACCGCGTCATACAAATTAAGGGGTGACTGCTGGGTCATAGGTTTCATGACTACCCACACTTGTGTAAGTTCCACTCAATCACAGGACCACCGAAAACTCAACTATGATCTCATCTGTCAAGAAATCCTACCCCTGGTCAGCAACGACCCATCTTTGAAGGTGAAAACAATCATCTCCCACATCACCACGGTTTTTAACTACACTCCGTCTTACCGTAAGGCGTGGTTAGCAAAGACTAAGGCGATTGAAAGGGTGTACG